GAAAAAAAAAAAAAAAAAAAAAAAAAAAAAAAAAATGGAAAAGAAAAGAAAAGAAAAGAAAAAGTGGAAACAAGATGGAAAAAAAAATTAACATGGAATGCAACACATGGGATATAAACTGTAGCGATAAATATATGGATAAAAACAAAGGCGATCTGCATATGTGTGCAAGGTGTACGCATCTGTTTATTTGTCTCTTCTTTTTTCATATGTATAAATAACCCTGCGCATGATCTTGTTCACTCTTCACTATACTCACGTTGAACATTTCTATACGATACTTGTGTCGGACTCAATGCTCATGTCTTTAAACTCGCGGAGCGCGTTCATTCTTCAATGTATGTCAATTCATGTTTGCACGTAACTATTGTCATTTTTTTTGGGCGTCATATTCTCAGCATCAAGCTGCGATAATTCTTCTACAACGTCCACATCCCTATTTGCATACCTACGGTCCATACGCGTGTTTTTTTTTTCCTCCCCCCAGAAACAAACATTCAGATAAATATATATACACATATATCACCATCCGGTGACACGAATTTAAATGGTTTTCTTGATATGTTTCAATTTGGGGATGTTATCGAACATGTACTTGACCTGGTCCCTTACGTCAACATAATAGGGATGGGCTATCTTGCAAATCTTCGTTATGTATACATTGTTAATATGGTTATATAAAAATATGGCCCAAGTGATCATGTAAAAAAGAACGCTGAAATTTACAAAGGACAGAAAATTACCCACAGAATAAAGCGCAATAATTACAGTAACATTCTCCATTCGGTTGGTCCACAATAAATATTTTCTTGCTAAGGTTAATTTGTCATTTATTAATTCATATATAAACATGACACAGCTCTCGATCATTTCCTTCGACACTATCTCCAGCTTGTCATTATCCTTATACTCTGAAATCTTAGGTACTTGCAAAAATACAAGCAGCCCGCTTAACAGGAGAAGCAAAATGCTTAGTGTACATATTACTTGTACAAATGTCTGGTTAAAAATATACAGCAGAATGTACAGTGCGTTTATCGATGCGAACACCGATAAGTTCACAAGGTTCTTTGACTCCATATTCATCTTGTCAGTTTTATCACAAATATACGATAAAGGGGGGGAGAGGGCGCTCGGGCTGGTACTTAAGAAAAAGTTACCACAACCTATATCACAAGCTATCGCAACAGCTGCAACTGCTGTATCTCGTATCTCTTCAGATCAATGCCTCTAAAAGTGTCTGCTACCCGCGTAAGGCTTAGGCGACCGTGGTTGTATCCTTGGCCTGGGAATATAATTATATACATACGCAATTGCATAAACTTCTTTTCGCATAAAGGGTGGTTATTATACTCTTACCCTTCCTGATACAAATATTCACGTAAACACGAAATGAAGCGCATAATATGAGACATAAAAAAAAAAAAAAAAGAAAGAGGGGGGGGATATGCTGGTTCCCTATTCAATAAATCGAACTCAACGCATAAAACTGTACAGTACAAATACGAAAGTAAAAAGCATGATATATGCTGGAACTGATAAAATAGAAAAGTTTGCTTAAGGGAATAAAATGGGGAAGATTATAAAATAATGGGGGGGGCATACTCTCATATAATATATGATAAAACCCCTTTAAAATATAAAACAAAAAAATGGAACTGCAAAATGGTAAATTTCTTCTAAAATCTCATAAAGTTTCGCTAATTTGTTGCATATATATAACAGTAAAATTATTGTTATAAAAATAAATGTAAATAAAATGAATGCGATCAAAATAAACGCAATTCCAAATCAATGCGATAAAATAAATATTTCCTTTTTTTTTTTTTGCTATTATATGTTTTTACTGTTCTTTGTTATAAATTGCTTATTATTTATTCGCATTTTGGGTAGGCACTTTTTTTTTTTT